TTTTATTGTTTACTACGCTGAAAAAGTAATAAGACACAACACTAAACACACACAGATATACAAGTAATGAGTTTACAAAGAAGGGGAGCAATGATGTTTGGTGTGTGTGGGAAGGTAGAGGTAGTTACAGTTTAAAAATGTTTTAGCATCTTTAAGCTGTGAGAGCAAAAGAACTGAGTCAGCCTCTTTAGTTGCTGTCTTATTTTCTGTAATGGCTGTGCTACAGCTGTCCTTGGCAAATTATTCTTGGTGAATCTTTGTTATTGTTCCAAGTTGGTTTTTGAGCAGTTTTTGAGCTTGAGGGGGTTGTGAGTGAGAGAGAGAGAGAAGACTCTCTAGTATTCTTGGTGTTCGGAGCCCTTTTTCTGTCTCTCTCCCTCTGCTCTGTTGTGCAATGCAAGCTGCTGAAATATACTTCTTCTGTATATCCACAGTGTGGCTCTATTATCTTTTGTTCAGATTGCACCCTCCATTTGTAACCTACAATCTCCAGTATACAAAGTAATCAGGCAAGTGTGAGTAACAGAAGATATGTAAATTTCTTGTTCCCTCATGGAGTTTCTGTGCCTTTTGATTAAAAATGTTAATTCTGAGCGGCTGATTTTATATATTCCATGTGGTTGCCTGGGCTTTTCAGGTGATTACAGCAACTATTTTAGGTCAGCAATGTCCTTTTTCATTTAAAATATTAAACGTCAAATAATGAATGTTAGATATTCACAGTCATTTTCTGTATGAATGCGACAATATACAGATGTTTGAACACAATTGCTAATAGGTAAAGTGGTTTGTCAAATTTTAAAATAGTCCCGTGATATCCTAATGACAATATTGGCCTTGTGTTACTCACAGGGTTTGTGCTGCTGTTATTCAGCTGGAGTTGTGCCTGGTGTATGGTGTACAATATCCTGGGCACTCTGGGAATGAAATTTAGTTTGGCATTAGTATGAAGTGCTTCAGTAGCTTTTTTCATACCCTGTCTGATTTTCTTTTATTGTTGAAGTGAGTTGCTGATTCACTATTGATTGTTTTATACTACCCTGGAAGACTAATTTATCCGTCCTGTGAATCAGTCAATGGCAATACAAAAACTTTAATATTGCAATATTCTGTAATCTTTTCAATAAAAGTTCATTTTGTCTTCCTCTTCTCGCTTGACCTGCTCCCTGAGTTTAAAAAAAAGAATTCTGCTGCTTTATTTTACTGTTTTTCAGTTTGGTTTTCACGCTTTCCATAACCATGTTGCTAATGCTTCAGGAGCTGGGGGTCAGGTCTGCTCACAGCCCTTTCCCACCAATAACAGTCTCTGTGGGCAGCCAAGCAGTAACCAAGTACCTTCCACAATTATGGTTAAAATGGACAACCTATTGACCACCTATAGTACACTCTTGTTGGCAGCTTAGGCTAACATTATGGATATAGAGCCAGTTGACTGTCCACCTACATAGCACGCAAAACAATACTTTTCACTGTATCGTGGTACATGTGGCAACAATATATCAGTCAAGCAATGGGGCAGCACTGCTGTCTCATAGCACCAGGGACCCGGGTTCAATTCCAGCCTTGGGTGACTGTCTGTGTGGAGTTTGCACATTCTCCCCCTGTGTGCGCAGATTTCCTCCCACAGTCCAAAGATGTGCAGGTTAGGTGGATTAACCATGTTAAATTGCCCGTAGTGTTCAGGGATCTGCAGGCTAGGTGGATTAGCAGTGGGAAATGCAGGGTTACAGGGGGGTAAGGGGGATTGGGGTGGGATGCTCTTCGGAGGGTTGGTGTAGAATTGTTGGGCCGAATTGCCTGCTTCCATACTGTGGGGATTCTATGAATCTAATCAAGTAACTCTCTTGGCCACAGATCTGGCATAATTTGTAGCAGTCCAGAGACATGTTGAGCAGAATAAATCCCTGGAGGTGATGCTAAATATAACATCTCCAATAAACGGTTTAAATATTTCCTACGGTGGCTGAACATCAGAATTTTTGCAAAATTGCTTATTGTTTCCATCTGCCTTTTGCCTTCCAGGGGAGCCAGAATTTAAATATGTTGGTAACATGCACGGGAACGAGGCAGTGGGCAGAGAGCTGCTTGTCTTCTTGGCACAGTACCTGTGCAATGAATATCAAAAAGGAAATGAAACAATTGTCAGTTTGATTCACAGCACGCGAATACACATCATGCCTTCCATGAATCCTGATGGCTTTGAGAAAGCAGCTTCACAGGTAAGCAGAGATAATGGGCTGAATCCTATCTCCAAAATTAAAAAAAAAAGGCTGGGTTAGGGTTGTGTCAGATTAAAATCCAAAGAGAATTTGGAACAGGAGGAAGAAACTGCCTTAATTTTAGAGGGACAAGGGACAGGTGACCAATCCTTTTGTAGAAGGAGACTTGGTAATTTAAATATTATAATAATGCTTCCGAGCCTTCATATTAACAATGAATCAGTTTTTAAGTTGTGTTACTTGGGTTTTCCAGGCCTCTGGAAACATGACTAGTGTAAAAATGTGAGAAGGGCTAAATCCTTGAAGTAAGTGGCTTTCCAGCACTTGTGGGCCTGGAGGAACAGGAGCAGTTCTTCCCAAGTGTAGCAAGATATTCATCAAACTCTCTGCACTATGTCCTGGCTGTTTCAGTTGCCATGGGAACCCGTCTGACCCTCTATCTGATTTACAGCAACCAGCCAGTGCTTCACCTGTGATCACCATCCGCTTCACTACTTCAGCCAGAACTATCTACTAGCCCTGTCCCACTGCACCCACTATCAATTCCCTTCTCCTCCAATCCCGCTCAGATCAACTTCCAGGCTAAAATCCAAGTGTTGCAGCAGAACATCCTTCACACCCTATTCACAGATGTGTCCCTTCTCCCGAATGATGGCCATCCAGTAGGGAAATACTGCTCTCTGAAACATTCAGTTTTGTCACTTATGGTGAGTGATATTTGACAAAAAAAACAGTTCACCAGATTGTATTTTCTTCTGTGCTTCTGAAGGCAATTATGTCATACTGGAATGCAGTTTAGCAAATTGGGCATGGTTCCATTTGTCCTAGCCAAAACAAACCATTTCCTGATCTGATAGCCATACCTGCATTTTTCCAGTTTAGATCCAGGCAGGTATTCTTTCCCAGCCAAAGCAGAGTTGGCAATAGCAGCTGTACTGCGATAATTCAGTATGGATTAGAGATAGGTTTGGGACCGTCCAAGTCTGTACAGTATGTGGTTCCATATCTGCTGCTGGGAAACCTGAAGATCAGATTTTAACCACGGCCAAAGCTGTAAATACTTCAGCCCTTCTCACATCCTTGCGTAGTCATGAACGTAGAAAAAACTAAATGCTGTTAATTTTCTACAGTAGAAATTCTCATTCTGTTCGAGCATTCTTCCATCTGTCAACCATTTTATTCAACTCTAACACCCCACTTCTGCTGTTCACTGTTGTGGCACTGGTCTCTCTCTGAGTTCCACTTGTGCCATTTCCAGTTTTACCTCCTAATTTCTTCTCTGCTCTCTGCACCTCCAATTTTGGACCCCTCCTCCTCACTTTAACGTCAGCTTCCAGCTGTATGCCAACCATGCAGCAACATTGTATTATGTAATAGATTCAGTGTAGAAACATACAGCAACACACTTCGGAGATGGCAATTGGATAAACACGAAGGTGGAGGACTGATGAAATCTTTATTAGAGAAGTGAATTTTAGTAATAGTCTGAAACGATGTTCCCCCTAAGATTTTGGGGGGAGTGCTGTGGATGTGCACTGCCTGAAAGGTACGACTTCCTTCTATGAGAAATAATACCTGGACGGTGGCGCAAAGAAAAATGAAAAAGGCTTCGTACATTCCATGCACAAACAAATTTTAGAAGGAACATTAGTCTTAAAGACAGACAGAGACTTAGCTTTTTAAAATTCTGTCATGGGATATGGGTGTAGCTGGCTGGGCCAACATTTATTGGCCGTCCCCAATTGCCCTTCAGAAGGTGGTGGCGAGCTGCCTTCCTGAACAGTTGTAATCCATTTGGTTTAGGTACACCCACGATGCCATTAGTGCCAGTTTCAGAGGCCTTTCCAAAACTTCGAACCAGGATACTGAAATCGTCGCTAGGGAATGTTCAAGTGAGCGAGGAGCCAGCGCTTGGACAAGAGCCTTGGAGGTTCGCGAACTAGAGAAGTTTACAGGGATAAGCAATTGGCAAGACCATGCGTGATTTTAAAGTACCATGTAAGAATGTTAAATTTGGAGTCTTGGGAGACATAGCACACACTGGGTGATTGGGTGAGTGAAACTTGGTTCAGGTTTGTAAGCAGGCCAACAGAGGTTTTAAAGAGCTAAAAGAAGAAGGGACATCAAGGACAACGTAAGAATAATTGGTCCTGGAGGTAAAACAGACATAGATGAGGATTTTGGGAGCGGCTATCAAGATTAGTTGGTGTGGACATTGTCTTTGTGATTGAGAGGATATGGGATTGAAAGTTCAGCTGAGGTCAGATGGAATGCTGATGCTCTAAACAGTCACTTACAGTCTAAGGCCGTGGCTGGGAATGTGGATGGAAATGGTGTCATTGGTCCTCCCATAGTTAGGTTATAAGGAGAGACTTAAAGGAAGGAAGAAAGGTGGAGATTTTACAGATAAAATGTAGGGCCTAGGCAGCTGAAGGCATAGCTGCTAGTGCTGGAGGAATTATGATCTTGGATGCTCAAGATTCCAGAATTAGAGAAGTGTAGACATCTCAGAGGGGTGTGGCACTGGACGAGATGACAAACATAAGCATGTCTGAGCCTACAGAGCAATTTTTAAAAAAAACGGATTTGAATTGAAAATCTAGGTGTTGTTTTTCACAGAACTAATGGAAATCAATGAGCACTAAGGTAATAAGTGAACAGGACCCGATTTTAGTTATGGTAAGGGAAACTTTGTTTTGATTTGTGTCCTTTATTATTTGCATATTGAATTGTAAACATGTTACGCTGAGAGCTTCTGCTTATTCAAAAATATAAACATCTGTGCTTACTTTGGCAGCACATAGACTAAAAATCGGAATTATGCAGAGAAGGTTAGCCAGCCCCTGCACAAGGATGACGGCCAAGTTTGTGAAGCATTAACTGGAGCCATGGTAGTGTCACTAGCTCTGAACCAGGAGGCCCAGGATCAAGTCCCACCTGCTCTACCGTTGTTGTCATACCGTGTCCGAACAGGCTGATTGAAATATCTAAATCTGAAATTTCATTGTCTGTCAGATTTGGTTCTGCTACCATCTAGTGGATAGCCATGGTTGTTCCTAGCACAAAAACTGCTTGACAACAATTGGAATGAAGGTGGTGTTAGGCTTATGTTGCAGTTGAATAGCTATGTTTGAACACTTGGGGCTGGACTTTCACATTTTTATTGTCTTGTTTTGCTGAGTGGGATTCATGGTGCAGGGTTCACCACGGCTCAGAGTGACTTTTCTCACAAAATCTTCTGCTCTCCACCTTAATTAATTGCGCTGGATATGTGCACGGACCTGCACTCCACCACTCAAGTTATTGGTGCTCAGCATTAATGGTAAACCGAGGTGGGGAACAAGGGACCTCGATCTCCCTCCAGGGCCCCTTTCCTCTCAGGGAGTTAGGGCAGTGCCAGCAGGTACCCAGAGAGGGCAGGAATGACATACAGCTTCCCAAGAAGCTTCTTCTCAGGACATTGCAGAGTGTCCTGACCCTTGTAAAAAGTGGTTCACTATTGAGTCACTGATCATGATCCAGCTCTACAATGTTTTCCTCAGGGGCAATGCCTTTACATTCAGGCACTCAAAAACAAATTTCCCAGAGGAAGGATTTCCCAGTTTAATTCCTTTTCATGTGGCACTTCTGCCTTTATTTTATTTTCTAATTATAACAAGCCAGTAAGCTAACTGCACACTAATTTTATTTTAGCATATCCATAATGTGTATTTCAGAACTTGTCCTACCTCTCTCAGCTAATCTCTCTGTTATTTGAAATTTTGTTCCTGTTCTTTCTATTTCTCAGAAGGGTATTCCTCCTTGCCATTTTAATTTCTCACAAAGCCAGTATCATCACCATTCCCATGGGGGAAAGCATCACCAATGAGTTAAAAACCAAAAGAACTGTGGATGCTGTAAATCAGGAACAAAAACAAAGTTGCTGGAAAAGCTCAGCAGGTCTGGCAGCATCTGTGAAGGAGAAAACAGAGTTAACGTTTGGGTCTGGTGACCCTTCCTCAGAACTCGAAACGTTAATTCTGTTTTCTCCTTCACAGTTGCTGCCAGACCTGCTAAGCTTTACCAGCAACGTTGTTTTTGTATCAATGAGTTAAATTTGGGTTATTATGCATCATTTGCAATTTTGGGTTTTAATTTATGATTGCCAGTAATGTTTCTGACACAGCCTTTCCTCCTGGCTGATGTAATCATCTATCAAATGCTTTTTAACACCTTCATGACTAAATGTTATTGTCTTTGAATTCCCAAAGCCCTGATGGCCTGACACCCTGTTTCCCCCATCAAAGTTTTTAGTCCATTACATCCATGCCCTTGACACGTTCTCTATCTGTGCTTTTGTTGACTGCTAATCCTCTGGACCTTTTCTCTCCACAGTTGGTTAGTGGGTTTGTTAGGCAATGCAGGATCTGAACCATCTTCTATGACTAGCAGTGCGGTCCTCTTTCTGATCCTGCTTAATATCAATGAACCTCTATTAATCATAGTCCAATAGTATTCACACTTTTTCAGTGCACAGAATCTATAGTCTTTTCCCAGAGTAATAGCTGCTTTGTTACACCATGATCCTTCGTGCCCTTTGGGGACATGGTCATCTTACGTTTCTTTAAATTCTTCAAAGGCACTGTTTCTCCCAAATCTAACAATCAGTTCTTGTTCATTGCCATTGCTCCTTGTATTCCTGGCCTCGTGATCATCTCTGACCTCATTGGAATTCCTACAGTGCCTCCAGCTTTCAGTGGGTTGGTTTATGTGTTCACTTCAAATGCTTGCTTTTTCTTTTAAGGTTAAAACTTACATCCATCTAAGAAGGTCTCCTAACAATTCTGTCACAGTGCAGGATGGAAGGAACAAAAAACTTCTTATCTGTTAGGTGATTCTCCTACATCACAACCGTTCATACTTCTTTACATTGCAATTTTAGTAAAATATGTTCATTTCAAAAAAAGGATAAAAGTGCAATTAAAGAATTGCTAATCTCAATGGCTGTGCCTAGTTTTCAAGAAATATTTGGTTATTGTCTTAGAGCTAACTTTAATTGTGTTCAACAGCACATTTTTATACACTGTTTCCTTGCCTTGTTTTTCCCTTTGTAGACTGGTGATCTCAAGGATTGGTTTGTGGGTCGCACCAATGCACAAGGAATAGACCTCAACAGAAATTTTCTCGATCTTGACAGGATTGCCTATGTGTATGAAAGAGAAGGAGGGCCCAATAACCATCTTCTGAAAAATATAAAACTTTCTGTGGATAGAAACACAAAGGTAGGAGGATGACTGCCAGGATCTGGGACAAAGTGGCTGCTCCTGAGTAACCAGAAGCTCCATAAATTGTCTCAATGTTTTCTTCGTATGTTGTTTAGGTAGAAGATTGTCTTTGTCTTTGTATTCCCTAGTTATATCAATTTCAGAAGCATTAACACATAATAGTGTTGACACGCACAAAAAGCACTATGGCCAGAAACATTAACATGCGGTTAGGACAATAGTGAACCTCAAAGTGCCTGATTGTTCCATCCATTTGCTTCAGTAACTGGGAGAGTATGATACTAACTTGATGGGATAGCAGTTAGCTCATGTATCTCCTACCCACATTGCAGCATTAAATAAAAATAGATAAAACTGGAAATACTCACCAGGTCTGGCAACATCTGCAATGAGAAACAAAGTTAATGTTTCAAGCTGATGACCCTTCAGAACACCAGAAGTCTCCATGTAGGTCTAGTGGAGCTCCAATAGCAACCAAGTTACTTAATATTGCATGTTAATTTTCCCTGTCCCAGCTTTCATTCTCCTTTAAACTTCCTTGAAATTAAAGAAAAAGTTGATTTTTTAAACTCCTTACTTCGTGTTTCCAGCAGGCTGCTCCATAGAGTGTGGTACGACATTATTGAGATGCATTAAACTCCACTTTCTTATTTTATGGTGTCAACTCTATCGGGGAAGATGGAAAATAGAGGCCAACACGACAAGGAGTCATTAAAAATCACATTTCCTGAGGCTGCTCCTGGTTGTCAAAGTTCCAGCAGTTGAGGCCCGAGAAGAAGCTGATTAGCTGGCATGTTATCTGACAGCGTCAGAGCTAAAGATAAAAAAAAGTTATCTGTGCGCTGCAAAGTTTACGATAATCTACGCGTAATGTCTTGCACTTAATACGTGTACTTGTTTTTCACCAGATCACGCAATACACAAATGCAAAAAAATGGTAGAAAGTCTGCTTTATGGAAGGCAGGTTGATTTAAATGTATTTGGTGGATCCTTGGTGGAATCTCGATCTCTGTTGGGGAGCCTGCCTTTGGTCTGGTGGGAAAACGGAGCAATTGGTAACTGGCTGCAAAGACCTTACTGCATTATAACATGGCTTTGACCTCTCAGACTTAACCATACCTTTTCTAAGTCACTGTGTAATCAATTTCCCTGTGATTACATTCGTAAGCTAGGAACCTTAAATTTTAAATTCCTCCCTTCAATGTCAAAGATAACCCTGAAACGGGACATTTTCTAGAGTGCAAATGACAGGCAGTATACAATATAGCACATTTTAAATTTGAATATTTCAGCTCCATCAATTATAACCCTTTGATCAAAAAAGCTATTCTAGTGGGTTGTCTGTATAATTGCCCATCCAGGTCTGTGGGAGCTGTTTCAGGGAAGTTGATGTACTGTAACTGCAATGGAAGATCTTGGTCCAGGTCTCGATAGAGTGTTGGAATGCAGAACAATGGGCAAAAACTTAAAATGAGGGTTAGGACATTCAGGAGTTAAATTAACAAGTACTTTTTCACATCGAAGATAATGGAAATTTGAAATTCCCTCCTTTTGGAGACTCCATATTAAAATGATGAAGACTGGGATTGGCAGATTTTTTTTATTAGTTGTCCAGGAACTAAAGATGGATAAATTGAGTTAAGGTGTGGATCAGATATGTATGAACTGAGTAGTGTAACAAGTTTGAGGGTCTGAATGGTCTCCAGATTCCTGCGTATCATTTAGGACATGAGATGCTTTTCGTTGCAAATTATTCAATATATTCTGATTAAGAAGACAAAAAAAATTTTGATATTGATTTTTTTTTCAAGTTTGTAATTAGACAGTTAATAGTCTCAAACCATTTCCAGAAATTTCCCCTGCTTATATTTGAAGGTTCCAGTGGTAACATAGAAAGAAATGCAGAGGTCCCACACTGTGCACAGTCCTGTCAAAAGTTGTGACTACAATTTCAGCTCTCTGCTCTCTACCATTGTCTGATGTGAGAGTAAAGTCCACCTTGATAACCAATACAAATATTGCATTTTATTGGCCCATGGCTATATGGCAGCCTACTCTGATTTGCTTGTTAACTATGGACTCCTACTCTGTTGTGAATTTCTGTCATTCCTGTTACTGCTGTTAAGGTTGGGCTTGCTGTGGGCAGAAATGTTTCATTGTAAGCTCCTTTTATATTGCCCTCATGTTGTGCGACTACCAACATGTAGGTCCCACACAGCCGGTGGTTTCACTGCAGTAAACTTGCTGGATTTGCCGAGGCTGGCAATTGTAAAAATGTATTTTCCACACTTCAAAAGTCCTTTGGCATGAGCACAGCAGCGCAGCAATGTACAAGTGAGCTGAAATGTAATAAACATGATGGGAAAATCAACTGTAAGTTGGAATTGCTGAGATTCTTTAATGTGATTTATTGCAGTGACTGGTTTGTTGAACTACTTATTCTGCCTTTTTTGCTGACTTTAAATTCATGTAGGCCAGTAGAGTAATAGAGTCATAAAGATGTACAGCATGGAAATGGACCCTTCAGTCCAACTTATCCATGCTGATCAGGTATCCTAAATTAGTCTAGTCCCATTTGCCAGCATTTGGCCCCATATTTCTCTAAACCCTACCAATTCATGTAT